ACTTTTGGTCGACTCAATTGTGAAAAATATATAGAAGCATTCTTATTCACAAACCCAAGTGCTGAGCTGACCCTAGGGCTCAGGATGTTTCCTGAGCTGACTCTCTACAAAGTCGCACTAAAGCTGCATTACTTAATACTAGTAACCATGCACGTGCAACGCACGTGTCCACCAACAAATATAAAGTTGACCGTGCCGAAAGGAATGGAAATTTTAAATTATAGTTGAACATAATAATTTTAACATTCCTTTAAACAACAAATAAATACATGTGGGAACATTTACTGACTACTGCATATATGGTTCATAGACAGTTTGTGGAGGTTTCACAAAAGAAATACAACATTAAAAACTGTAGGCTCGAAAGATCAGATATACTGGAGAGGCATCTATGTGAAAATGAATGAGGTTACATCTGCTTTCAACATACTATATAGCTCGTTACAATCCATCAAATAGGACTACCCAACAGTTTACAAATAGGGCAATTATGTCCAGCAGTGACGTCACTATCCATATCATTGTTGTCAGTGGGCACGACAAAATATCAGGTGGAGTCTCTACCTCTCGTAAACCACGCAATCTCCGGTGGTTTCAAGCTAAGCTAGGCTCGCCCGAATGACAATTTGGCGTAGGAAATTGTTATATCATCACTAATGTCTGAATTAGAATTTAGGATACCCGTCCTGCAAACAGAATAATTAGTTTCTCTATTTCCATAAACAAAAAGTAAACACAATCCATCACAGTGTAACTGCAACTATCAACACAAGGCCATAATTTTCTTTGATTCTGCATCCAGATTGAACTATAGATTTATTAGCAAAAAAGGCAGCATCTAAAAAAAACAAATATTGTACCAGAACATGCAATTTGTAGAACTTGATACCATGGAAATAAAGTATAGTACAATGGAAATAATAATAAACTTGATCAAGAAATTTTTGATTAGCACGGTACTTGTAAGATATTACGACTGGACCACTACTGAACTACTACCAAGATTCCAAAACACATATACCAATGCCGCGGTGCTGCTGCTTCTCGCCGGCAGGGGGGTGCGCGGTGGAGCTGCCCGTGCTCGCCGGCACAGTGCAAGGCGGAGCTGCTGCTGCTCGCCGGTGCAGGGGAGGGAGCGGGGCGTTGACTTACGCATGCGGGCCAGGTCTATCATAAACGCGTTTAAAATGGATGAATCGGTTGATTTACACACATGGTAGTTTTTAGTCACAGATTAGCAAAAAAGTGGTACTTTTCAGAACAAAATCGTAAAGTGGTAGTTTGTAGGCACGGTTCCATGAATTGTGGTAGTTTCTGGTTAAATACTCATGCAAAACACACACACACAGACACACTCAAAGGGAAAATCTGGAGATTGTTAGCAAATCCATTGAGAGTAGCATTGTTACATATGCAAATCATCGTACTAATTAGAAGAGCATAACCTGCGACCTGCGCCTCCTCGGTCACTACATTGAGCCCAGTCTTCTTGGCAGTTGCCTCGGCCTTGGCAGCATGCAGCCCCTGCCCCTGGTGTGTCCACGATGGTTGGGACCATTCAGTCCGTGGTGCCAATCCTTGTGAACTGCCAAGTTTCAGTACCAGTGCAAAAGAAGAGTAAATATTCACGTCAACCTAGTGCAAGCTGCTACCTGGCATTTGCAGCTGCCATTCAGAAAAATGTGTGTGACAAAATGGTTTTATAAGATCTTATGCAATTTCCCTATGAAAGCTCTAATGCAAACACATTAATTACACATATCTGATATGCTTATAAAGTATAAATGATTAACTTATAATCATGGTTGCCATCTTGAAAAGAAGATCTCGCATATGGGCTGACACATTTTAAACACAGTATTACAATCTCCATCACAACAGTTCAGAGATGAATGGTAGGCATAGAAAAGTAACTGAAAATTTCTACAACTCACGTCTGACGAAACTTGATAGTCAAAACTTTTGACCAACAGAATAAATACATGGACCAGTGTGCAACACATATAGTAATTAAACATAGGGCAAAATGTCAATCTAACCTATGCAGTTTAATTCTACGCCAATGTGACATCAGTGATTAGAAACTATACTCATAACATTACGTTTCAGGGAATAAGAGGCGGAGGAGGCACATATATCCAACCAGCTGCTCCTGTGCAGATGAGTGCTGGCCGGCGACGCTCGAGCGAGGTTGGCCTCTCGGGTTTTAGACGGCCGCATGCGAGATCAAGGCGCTAGCACAGCGACGTGATTCAGAGGTCAAGACACCGGCCTGGTCGGTCATGTAGCCGTTTGTTGTGGCTGTAGAGATCGGGTGGCCAGCGACACCACGATGCGCTGTACTTTGCACGCTTCCATGATTCGAGTACGGTAGGCTTGGAGATGGTTCCCTTGAGCCGAGGGTGCTGCAACACCATGGTGCGTAGGGTTAGCGTAAGAGGAAAGTACAACAAAGCATGTCCCATCTTCTATCTAACTCAAAGCAAAGAGGAAACAAAAATCTGGGACATTGGTAAACAAGGTAAAACATGAAGATATATCAGCTAGAATCTGTACCTCCATATTAGGACAGTGGTAAACAAGGTAAAGCATGAAGATATATCAGCTAGAATCTGTACCTCCACATTGCAGCAAAAAGTAGCAACAAACAACGTATAACAGGAAGACTTGTTAGAAGTTCTACCTCCGCATCGAGATGCTTACAAAAGACTCGTCAATGGAAGTGACAAAATCAGGGACCCATGTCAAGTATGGTGATTGGGCATAAGTAACACAATCAAGTAAAGAGAAATTCAAACAAAATGCTATGCTAGTTTAGGAGTCTTCCGCCACTAATTTCCAAATTACATTGGATATCAAATAGAACAGTTTCTATTTGACTAAGCCCCTCCTTCACTGGAGGCTTACCATATCATATCTACATGCTAAAAATTAAACCAAAACAATTCTCTGCAATATATACTGTTGGTGAAGATGATTAAAATAATCTGCAGTAGAACAAAATTGAATTTCACCATTCTAGACAGAACCAAAATTAAAAAGATATGTTGTTTATAATTTATTAAAAGATCTGATGTCATCTGTCCCCAATTCTAGACAGAACCAAAATATATACCGGTGATGGGCATATCTGTCCCCAATTAACAGATTCAAATTATTGCCAGTGCTAGGACCAAATGCAAGGGCCAATTCATGCCAGTAGCTGTGAATTAAAAAAGAAAAAGAAATAGTACCAGCTGCAAATACTCCAGGAATAAAGGGGCAACCATGGCATCGTACAAGATTTATCTACAGAGATTATAGACTTACAGGAAGGGGATAGACGGAGAGGAACCTATCAAGGTAGTTGACAGACAAGGCCATAGTCAACGACAAAGAATTTGCAGATTTAATCGGCTATCACGGCACCATATATACATCAAGACGGTATCTGCTGCAGTCCAATGAGAAGATCGCCAATAAAATTGATTAGAAGGGCATCTTCTAAATCCGGCCCATCACATATCAGTACCATGCTAGAGAGGAACGTTTTGAATAAAATCAAGATGCGTGGGCTCACCATCCAAATCCAATATATAGCGTCCCTCCAGACGGTGGCCAAATCCAGCCCCCTGAGTCGCCGTCACGCTACGAAGAAGTGGAACCTGAAGCAATGGACGGAAGAATCAGAGCTGCGTGTGGCCGGCTGGTTCAGGGGACGCGGCGGGCGCGGGTGTAGGGCCGTGCACGGGCGCGGCGGCAAGGCTGGTGTCGGGGCAGGTTCCATCTCCTGGACTTTGGGGATCTCGCGGGATGGATGCCACACTATGAGCGGCAACAATCGCGATGGCGATCGTGCAGGGAGGCGACGATGTGGTGCAGTGCGGCGAGGTCGCCGTGCAGGCAGGGGACGTTGGTGGTGGGCGGCGTCTCGCACCAGGCCGCCGTCGTGCCAGACGGTGAGGTCGAGGTCGTGGAGTTTTTTTTGGAACTGGGAGGTCCTGGAGTTGCCTTAGTTTGCGACCAGATTTCCGTGATTGCAGGGGACGTGGGAATGGTAGTTCCAGTATTACATCTTAGATGAAGCATGGTCGGTCATTGAAAATTGTTAAGTGTACCCATAAAAATATTAGATCAATGGTGGCTGTTAGATTGAAAAGTGTGGGTCTAATCGTGTGGTGTTAATTGGTTCGTGTGGATTGTGGGACTAATTGCAAAGTGCATTTAAGAAAGTTTTTGTTTGATTGTTTAATAGCAGTGTAGATGGATAGGGAGTACTACATCTTTTGCAATGTATAATAATTCTCATTTTTGCCCTTGCTGATTATTCCATTGAGGTTCCTTTTTGTTATTAAAAATTTAAATGGCATCCCTGGTTTCACGGGAACAAAATATTGGTGTATCACCTCGGAAATGGCCAAAGGAGGCCATATCACAACAATGTGTTCTCTCCTTTCCCAAATAAGTGTCGTTGTTTTAGTTTAAATTGTGACTTTTAAACTAAAATGACTACACTTATTTTGGGACAGAGGGAGTACATATTTAAATACCACATTCCTACAACGCAAAATAATAATAGTAATAATAAAATAGTGTATGTAGAAATACATGTATAACAAGTTCGTGAACATTTTCGTAACCATATATTTTCACACTACAAAAAGAAAAAGAAATACGTGCATGAAAATGAGCCATATTTTATGGGCCAGGATTTCGTTTTCTTTGTGTAGCTCACAAATCATAACGTTTTCGAACGAAAATTTACAGATCCGTCATGAACATGTATAAGCTTTCGTGTTTTTTTTAATAGAGACTTGTATTAATTAAAAGAGGAAATATTATTTTTGATTTTTTTTCGAATTTTTAAATAAAAGGGCTCCCTGGAGCCCAGCCCGGCGCTATAACTTGGCACTCCGGGTGCACTAGGGTTCATCAGGTCAAAAAAGAAAAAGAAAAGCAAAGTGTACTAGGGTTCGTTGCTGACCACTCATCGATCGTTCCCGGAGCCGGCGGCGACCGCGATGCCCGGGAAGAAGAACGCGGAGCCGGCGCCCGCCGCCGTCCCGCCCCAGCCCGCGCCGATGCCGGTAAGCCGTCGACCTCCCTCCCCGGCCGGCGGCCCGCCCTCCTCGAAACCTCGCCGTCCCCCGTGCGCGTGCCCTCTTGTTTTATGCTCGCGGCTCCGCGGAGCAGCCGGCCGATTTCGCTCAAGAGAACTCTGATCTTTTAGCAGAAATTAAGAATTTTTTTGTCTGTGATTGAGAGGAATTAAGTAGTGCTAGTATCTTTGTATGTCTCTGATGATCGTATCTAGGTGAACTGATGAACTCATGAGGCGCGCGATTGCTGATGAACTGACGAATCTTGGGAGTAATCTTGTGGAGATCTTGTGCAGCCTGTGAAGGTGTTCAGGTTGAACGATGGCGGCGGGTGGGACGACTACGGCGCCGGCCGTGTCACCATCGACCACCTCGAGGTATGGCATATGCTGTTCACTAGAGATTCGCAGTGCTTTCGTCCAACACAACATAAGATGTTGTTACAACCGATATGTGACGACAGAGCGAGTAGCAGAACAGATTACATCGTAACAATGTCCCTTCATCGCACATTGGGGGTTCCGCTGATTTAGGTTGTCACTCATGGCCTTCTTCGTTCCCGTATGTTTGTTGTCGCAGGGATCGACATCGGAGAAGGAGATCGTTCTGGCTGTCATAGACGTGGAGAACAAGGAGACGATGCTTTTGCATCTCATCACCCCGGATGACATTTACAGGAGGCGCCAAGGTGAAGAAGCCCCTCTCTTGCTTCCCCTGCTTTCCCCTCTCTCAATTTCTGTTCTTTCAACATTCAAATCTAAGACGAAAAGTCATCGCAGAAAAGATGGAAGCTTTAAGTTAATCTGTTTTGAATGGTGCCGCCTTTATTTTGTTTGTTCCCCTCTGTTCAATGGCACCATGATTATGCCATCTTCAATCTCTCTCGCAGGGACGTTCATCTCGTGGTTCGATCCCGAGACCGGCTTGTCCATCTCCTTGAGCTTCCTAGACGCGGCGGCATGCTCCGATGTGTGGTATGTTACCATCACAATGGAAATGATATTGCGAATGTTGTTTCATTATGCTTTAAGCATGATGGTGATGCTAATGTATGGTATCTTGCAGGGACACGATCTGCCAAGTGCAGAGAAAACTGAGGCCTGATGGTTGGTAGACGGCAGTGGTGAGGTGAACCATACAATCAAACCCCTGTGATGTTTCTTTCACCCCAAAGATAAGAATGCTCAGCATAGATTTTTTACATTGTTTTGTGCAGCTCCTCAAGAACAGTTTACCCTATGAAGTGAAGCTGATGAGTTAGGAAGTTTACCAATGAATAACCTCTGTTGTTTTCTTCAGGATTTATTGAATTAGGATGCCCTTTTTCGCAGCGCCATGTGCAGAGTACACACCATTAATTTTATGTAATAAAAATCACCTCTGTTGTGATTATTATTTTTGAGCTGCATCAACATTGCTCTGTATTTAACATAGGTGGCAATAACATGCTACAACATTAGACCAGGTCAGGTGTGACTGCTTAGTGCAGATTCATGTTCATATATACACTGCCACACATGTCTTACACACAAGGGAGAAAATTGTCCCATGACGGCTACTTCTACGGAAACATCCTGAACCGGGCTATCTCCGGATCCGTTTCGAGGCGGTCTTGGCTAGAGCATTGTAGATATCGCGCTTCCTCTTTGCGTTTTCGTCGGTCTTGCCAGGGGCCGCGGCTGTGTTGGCCTGTCGCTCCAACGCTTCCCTCACAAAGAACTTCAGCCTCCAGAGGGTCGTCTCGCTCTGCATCCGCCCGCGCAGGAAGCATGGTTTAACATTTTATAAACAGTGTGGCGCATGGAGCGCGGTTAGGGTTTAGAATAAAGGAGCTTTACCTGAGCATCCATGTCAAGGTCCACTTCCTCTGCTGTAGTTTGGAAGTCAGGATTGTCTTGTGCGACCAGCTCCAGCGCCTTGCTAAGATCTTCCGGTGTCAGGTGGCAAAGACCTGCACCGAGTTTTCTCTTCTCGTCTGTGGTCATTTTCCTACAAGATAAAAAATATTGTAACGTTTTTATGCTTGGCACCCCTATAAGTCTGTAGCAAACAGCAAAAGGCATGAGATAAACATCTTTAAGACGTACCTGCATCTCTGAACCACCATGTTCCGGAGCATCTCTAGCTGCTTATTAATCTCATTCAGCTGGAACACGAGAAATAAAAGGTACTGAATATCTATAACAAAACAAAACAAGGGAACACAGTAGGGGTTGCAGTGAATATGCAAGGCATATATTTGACAAGGATACAGAAGCATGTTCAGGCTGGCCAAGAAAGGATTTCACATCGATACATCAATAGACAAAAAGCTAAATGATAACAGCCATTTTTTCTAAACATGAGTCGAAGTCAGTATATGTGCTAAAATCAATACCGACACAAGAATAAAAAGAATAACAGTCCAGAGGGCCGACCTCATCATCAGTATCTTTTGCTAATTTTGCAATAGCATCTTCCGGAGAAGTGTCTGTGGTTGGAGCATCGTTTGGTTCCACCTGTTGTTTCCTTTCCTAAAACAATAGGATCCAACTTATTGTTGTCAAATGCTAAATAACACATATCCATATCAAAACAAAAACGGTAACATATGAGACTACAAATATCAACCTCATTCTCAACTTTAGGGAGAAGCTGGAGCCATTTCTCCTCAAATTTCTCGAGTAATAACTTGGCCATTATGTGAACATCGTGATGTTCATCATTGTATGTCATTGCATTGGTAAAAATTAATCTAACATCAGAATATATTTCTCGAACACTTCTATACTTGGTACCATCCTTCGCTTCCATTTTGTTTTGGATGGTCGAGAAATCCATAGGTTTTGTTATAATCTGCAAAATGTAGAAACCAAAGATATGAGTCACTACAAACAAGCTTCAGGTAAAGAAACCAACGAAGCAACTCCATCTTACTGATATACTAAATATAGAAAAACATATTCGCTATCAACTCAAGGGATACATCAATATGAAGTACACTATAGAAGGTAAATAATAAGTGGCAAAGCCAATTACAGCTGTAAGATAAACAGAAAACCTAATATGTCAGGTTTTCCTTCTATAGATTAGGGATGATTACAATCTTAGAGTTCCAAGCAATGGTTTTCAGTTTCATGTACATGGAAGAGGGCAAACAATAGTTACAAAACCAATTAACAGCTAATAAGATACCCAGCCATGTTTTCCATACATAGATAAGGGAGGATTTAACAGTTTTTCCCTTGACATTGAAAATCTTCTCAGAAAGTGCAATAGCATGTGAACTGAAAGCAGAATGGAGACCAGAAAAAAAAATCCTGCAGCGAATCACGAGTAACGTGCTATGCAATCAAAGTCAGCTTGTGTTTTTAAGATCCTGATGGCTTGCCAACATTAGGTCATGCAAACTATAAACAGTACTATCAGAACTAATTCACATTAAGTTACCAAAATGTATCACTTATAGTCAAAATTTCTTTTCATTAGGAACAGAACTCTAGCAAAATACAGGACAAACTGTACTGGCAGTATCACCTTGTGATAGTCATCAAGTTGTAGGCCTACAACATCTACCGGTTGCAGAAATGGCGCTGACCATTCATGAGACGTGATCTGGAAGAAAATGAAAATAGAAAAGAGGATCAAGTGCCAAATTTTGCAAAAATCAACAGAAAGCTTTTCATAGGGCAAAGAGATCGCATATTTGAGTTTTTAGCTGCAGTAGCTCAATCGAACTTGGAAGGTGCATAAAGAACGATAAATTTTGTACTGGGTATTACACCATAGAAAACTAGATTAATAAAAAGGATTTTCCACATATAGTGGTTGAATCAATCCCAAAAGTATATCCAATTTAAAAAAAATGCATTGTAAGTTCACTTGCAAGGCTTTTTAGTTAGGTTCAGATGATTGCATTCAGCAAGAGCTGCAGACCATATATTTTAGGCTTATTTCATTCACTGCGCCAGAAGACCACATGTGAAAAATGGTCTACCAATGAACACAGCCAAAAAGAACCAGATTGATGTTCATGGAAGCATACATAAATTTGGGAGCTGTTTGAAACTTGTAGCAGAAATCTTGATTCCATTCTAAATCTATCTTGCTGGAAAGAACAGGAGCAGTATGTGCAGGCAATCACTACAAGCAATGGAAAAAGTCTAGGTTGCCACATTAGTCAATATCGATCACGATCAGGTCGGAAAGCCTTCTAATGTTCTAAATTGACTCGCGAATTACAAAGCTGGCACCAGTCCGACTTTCTAAAACACACTCTAGGATGCAAGAATATAGCATAAGTAGCCAGCAAACACAATGAACCATGGGATAAACCACAGCTGAAGAAAGATCATCACCTGGCGAATGATACCGGTAAGCTGCCGCATGAGGTCGGGCATCCCTTTGCAGTTGCTGTCCCTTGCACCATTCGCCGCATACCTGCTGCTACCACTGGCCCTGCGCCCTCCGCTGCCATGCTTCTTGCCGTCGTAGAACCCTACCACCTCGTTCACCCTCCTCTCCAGCTGCAACACACACCAGTTCAAGTCTGAGACAACTTTGCCCTAATTCTTGGGGGGAAAGAACACAGTATCGCAACAGGAGACCGCTAGACCTGACACCTAATCATGCAATAGCCAAAATCCCCGAAAATGGCGCACTCTTGGGAATCAAGCTGCTCTGGCAGCAGAGCCCTTCATGGAAATCACTACTGAGGCGAGACGGAAACTGATACCAAGGCTAGGAGGGGGCGGGGTTACCACGTCGGTCTTGGAGGCGAGGTCGTCGACCTGGCGCCGGAACGAGTCCACCTCTGACACCGCGGGGTGCTCCGCGGTGGCGGCCGCCGCCTGTTGCGCGCCGTCCTCCGGCACCATCTATGGTTCGTCTCCGCCGGCTGTGTGCGAGTAGCGAGCGACACTGCGGCTGTAGTCGCGGGGGCTAATTGATAAAATGTCCCATGTTTGCTCTGCCCCAGCCAAACTGCCCAATCTTTATCTGCAATTGATCAAATATCCAAATTTAGCGCTTTGCCAATTGATAAATGCCACGCGTACAACTGACCATGATTCTTTGCTAGATGACATAAATGAGAGGGTGGAAAGACCAGAATATATTCCCTATAAAAAATAACAAAATAATTTTGCCATTAAAAAAAACAGAGTTGCTAAATCTCAGTCGACTTAGATATAAAACTTGGTTATGTCTCAGTCGATGCTATATTCATCAGATCTTGCGTAGAGATTTGTGCAAAATTTTCTTTTTAGTTTTTTCTTTCTTATGTGTTCTGTCACTTGATTGAGACTTGGTTAAATCTTAATCGACTGAGATCTAGCCGCACCCTTAAAAGAAATTCAGGCCAAAACTTAACCATCCAGAAAAATCTGGAAAAAAAAGAAATACCGCACAAAAGCCTCATCCATGTCCTGTGACGGTTTTGCTAAATAATAATAAAAAAAATCTTCATCGTCCGAGATCCATTCCCCGTGCTAGTGTTCATACCAAGTCCAAATCGAGGAACTGGCCAGATGCATGGATAGTCACGCTTGAGAGAAAGGCGAAAAGAAGCTGACCTGAGAGGAACCTCTCTCCCTCCCTCGAATGGGGCCGCTGCTGGCGGTCGTCGCCTTCACGGACGGGGGCGAGCTGGGGTGGAGCGGCCGGCGGCGCGGCGAGGAGAAGGCGGGGCCGCGCGGAAGAGAGGGCGGGAAGGGAGAGGCTCGCCACGGCGGAGGACCTGGGGGGCGGGGTGTGAGCGCGTAGCTCCGGCGGCGGGGGAGCTGTCGAGCGGGCGGAGGAGGCTGGGCGGCCGCCGGTCGTGCTGGAGGAACAGAACAGATACGGGTCCTGTAAAAAAAACAGATAAGGGTGGGCTCTTGGGCGACGTGGCGGGCTTTCTACTGGACTAACGACGGGCCGGTCGCACTCGAGGTTAGCCGGCCCGATTTCCCAGCCCATCGAGGCTAAATATTCTCTCAGAAAAATGTGAGTAAACTATCTGGCAACCGAGCCATTATCAGCGAGATCAAGTGCAAGCGTCTTTGTTTGATTGTATAATTTTTCTTCTGAAGGTCATGCTATTAATATCGAAGCACATAGTCTAGCCAGGTTTTCTCTTTCATTAAGTCTAAGACG